TACACGTGGAGTGTGAGGGAAAGAGAGCCAGGCCTGAATAATTCTGGCATTAAGGGATTCTTTGTGGAAGACTTTATCCGGGTTAGCCAGATATGTAGCCTGGATTCTGAGAATTGTGGAGGCTATTTTATGATGAAATTATACAGTTGGCTGAAATAATTGGTATAACCTTCAATAGATTCCTTTTGCAGTAGTCATGCCATAAAAGATAGTATCTCAATCTTTGTACCTGTTATCATTCCTGATGTTTGGCCCCCAATTTTTTGTTGTTAATATTTTTAAAAACAGTATGTTTGTTTAAACAGATTTGAATTTAAGTTATGCGGTCACTCACCCACATAAGTTTCTTTAGTAGTATGGTTCCAATAATTGTGTTGGTTTTCTTTTGTTATTTTTTTCAACAACCTTAAATACATATTATTCATAATAACAATACTTATTTAATAATAATACAACTTGGGGCACCTGGGTGGCTCAGATGGTTAAGCGTCTGCCTTTGGCTCAGGTCATGATCCCAGCGTCCTGGGATCGAGTCCTGCATCGGGCTCCTGGCTCAGCGGAGAGCCTGCTTCTCCCTCTCCCTCTGCCTCTCCCCTGCTCATGCTCTCTCTCTATCTCTGTGTCTCAAATGAATAAATAAAATCTTTAAAAATAGTAATAATACAACTTATGATTTATTACACACTATTAGGCAGTATTTTGGGTGATTCAACCATATCAACTCATTAAATTCTCCAAACAGCCTTGTGAAGTACTAATATCATCGCCTCTGTTTTAAACGGATGCACAGAAAGGCTGTGACTTGCCCAGGGTTACCAGCTAGCAAGTGGAAATGCCAGAATTTGAATGCAGATAGGTCACCCAGAGACCATGTTCTTCACTATAACGATATGCTGCCTCTGAAAATACTTGTGTTGTTTTCAAAGTGCCTTTTAAAATTGCTCTAAGAATTTTGTAATATAGTAAAAGTAGGAAACACAATGCCCCCACTTAATTTTTTCAGATGAAGAAATTAAAGCCCAGGAACATTTATGTTGCTTTTCCAAGGCGATAAAATGAAGATCACAGAAACCTTCAACCTACATAAAAATAAGCAATAGCCATTTTGAAGATAACTGAGTGGTAATTTGGAATATCTCAGTGGGGTCAGGAACTGACAAGTATGTATATACCCTTACACATTGAAAGATGGAGGTCAGAAGATGCCAGTCTCTGGGTTACTGGGAACCCTGTGCTGGTAATGGTGTCATCGTGCACTCATGTCATATGGGTGACTTGGGTGAGCTCTGAGTCATTTTCCATGCATAAGTAATTTATCCATTTTGCCTTCTGGTTTTGACAGGCGAGCCATAATTTCAAAATAGTATCTATGGAGAACAGCACCAAGGTGAATGAGTTTAGGCTCTTGGGACTGACTGACAGCCCAGAACTGCAAGTCCCTCTCTTCATAACGTTCACTTTCAGTTATCTCACTACCCTCATTGGAAATCTTGGGATGATCATGTTGATTCTGTTGGACTCTCGTCTCCACACTCCATGTATATTTTCCTCAGTAACCTCTCTCTGGCGGACTGTGCTTACTCCTCAGCTGTTACCCCCAGTGTGCTGGCTGGGTTTCTCACAGGGGATAAAGTCATCTCCTATGGTGGATGTATTGCTCAGACGTTCTTTGCGGCTTTTGCCAACGTAGACTGTTTCCTGTTAGCTGCCATGGCTTATGATCGGCATGTAGCAGTATGTAAGCCCTTACATTATACCACCACTGTGAGTACCAGCTGGTGTGCTCAATTGGCAGTAAGCTGCTATGTCTGGGGCTTTGTTGAATCTGCCATCCATACTGGATTTACCTTCTGCCTCTCCTTCTGCCATTCCAATGTGGTCCATCACTTTTTCTGTGATAACCCACCCAATTCTGGCTCTTTCCTGCTCTGATATCTATATAAATGAGATTGTGCTCTTTATCTTAGCAGCTTTCAATGTCTGTTTTTCCCTTATAGTTATCTTGACCTCCTATCTGTTCGTCTTCATTGCCATCCTGAGGATGTGCTCAGCTGAGGAAAGAAAGAAAGCTTTCTCCACCTGTGCCTCACACCTCACTGCTGTAACCATCTTCTATGGGACTGTCATGTTCACGTACTTACAACCCAGTTCTAGTCATTCTATGGACAATGACCAAATGGCATCTATGTTCTATACAATAATAGTCCCCATGTTGAACCCTATTGTCTATAGTCTAAGGAATAAAGAGGTGAATAATGCTTTCAGGAAAACCACTAAGAAGCTGAAGATTCTGTTCAGCCCATAGATCAATTAGAGAGATTATAAAAACTGTATAATCAGTTATCTATTGTTGTGTAGCAAAATATCACAATGCTTGAAACAACAGTTTATTATGTCTCATAATTCTGTGGTTGGTGGGGTAGTTCCTTTACTGCTTTCCTATGGGCTCACTCATGAGGTTGCATACCTTCTGCATGGTCAGCTGGGCTGAAAGGTTCACGTTTCTAACTCATATTTCTACTCACGTTTCTAACTGTTGATTCTGGTTACTGTCCACCTCTTCTCCACATGCTCTTTCATCCTTTCTGATGGCTGAGTAATAGTCCATTGTATATATGGACCACATCTTTCTTATCCATTCATCTGTTGAAGGAAATCTCGGCTCTTTCACAGTTTGGCTACTGTGGACATTGCTGATATGAACACTGGGGTGCATATGGCCCTTCTTTTCACTACATCTGTGTCTTAGGGGTAAACCCAGGAGTGCAATTTCTGGGTCGTAGGGTAGCTCTATTTTTAATTTTTTGAGGAACCTCCATGCTGTTTTCCGAAGTGGTTGTACCAACTTGCATTCCCACCAACAGTGTAAGAGGGTTCCCTTTTCTCCACAACATGCCACATTCTAAGAGTGGTTATGACTGTCAGAGGTTGACAAACTTAATGACTTTAGGGCCTGGGATTGTAGAAGGAAGATTTGCAGAAGCGGGAGGACAGTGGTAGAGAATGATTAGCAGAAGAGAGATGTCTTTCTAAAGCCTTCAAATTCAAATTCAAAAGATTTAAGGCACTGTTCCTACACAAGAACATATCACATAAAAAAAAAAATTTAATGTGGATCTCACTACCAAAACAGACCTGCAGGCTAAAGGCAGCCAACAAACCAGGACCTTTCAGCCCTTGATCTTGGTGATTCAACCATGAGATGATAGTAATGAGAGGAAGAATGAGTTTCAGAAGGGACATTCTTTGACTCATGCTAAAATATGGATTTTAAGAAAGAAATTATGCAAAAGAATGGCTCATTTGGAATGGCTAGAACAGCCACTCAAGCTGGCAGAGGACAGATAGACTGAGGAACACTGGAGGAGACAAAATCATCAGTGGACCAAGTGTGTGAGAACAAGGAAATCAAAGAGAGGTTATAAACTTCAGAACTCATCCATCCCTGAATTTCTGCATGTCACCACCCACCTTTCTCAAACAAACATAAGGGCTATCATTCCATCCTAAGGATAATACTACAGCTAACTTATATATTAGGCCACGCTGAGCACCCAGCATTTTGCTCATTGTTTATAATGCATTATCTCTTTATTTCTATAAGGAAAGAGAGAGAGAGAGAGAGGTGCACCATAAGAGACTCTTAATGATGGAGAACAAACTGAGGGTTGATGGTGGAAGGTGGGTGCTGAATGGGCTAATTGGGTGATGGGTATTAAGGAGGGCACTTGGGGTAAGCACTGGGTGTTATATATAAGTGATGAATCACTAAGTTCTACACCTGAAACTAATTTTACCATATTTGTTAACTAACTAGAATTTAAATAAAAAGTTGAATTTTTTAAAAAAAAACTAAAAGGGGGCGCCTGGGTGGCTCAGTTGGTTAAGCCACTGCCTTCGGCTCAGGTCATGATCCTGGAGTCCCGGGATCGAGTCCCGCAATCGGGCTCCCTGCTCAGCGGGGAGTCTGATTCTCCCTCTGACCCTCCCCCTTCTCATGCTCTCTCTATCTCATTCTCTCTCAAATAAAAAAAAAAAAAACAAAAAAAAAAAACTAAAAAACAAAACAATATCTTGAGGTAGATCTCATGACAATCTTCATTTTGTGTATGCAGAAAATCAGGTCTAGGTACTGAGGTTGGAACCAATGCCCCTTCAGTAGTCAATGATAGGGCTGATGTGCACCTCTTCCCAGAGCCCAAGCTCTACACTGGATGCTGTGCCTTGCTCTCTGAATTGACTCTGCTGGTTGTATACGCCCTTAATGCTCCAGTTACCTTACTACATCTACTCTGCTTATATGCCTCAGTTGCCTAAGTATAAAGGCCCTAACACTGATTTTGGGATGACAGAGACAATGAGTAATTGTAAATTGAGTTAAACTCAATGTTTTAAAAATTAAAACCAGTGGACTAAAGAACCAATCTTTGGGTATAAAACTTGGTTTGACAGTAATAATTTTATAAATTAGATACATTATCCAACCTCTGTGCCTCATAACTTAAATGGGCTTAATTACTAGTCAATCTTGTGGGGTCTTTGAGAAAAATAAATGAATACACACATATTGTCTAGAGCAGTTCTTGGCACACAAGCAACATAGAAGTGTCGAAATTTACAAGCTTGTGGAACTGAAATGACAGATATATTTAATTCCAGACCTGCCATCTTGATCAAGACATTCCTTTTTCCACATCTCAGTTTACAAATTTATAAAAATTAGAAGGTGGGAGATGATCCACAAAGATCCTTTAGTTTCATCAATGTATAACTATATAGGTAATTCATTCATTAAATTTTGTTGTCAAGTTCATACTAGAGACTTGAATAATTTGGAAGTAAGAATTACTGCTATGATGAAAAAATGCACATCTATCTTCTTTCTTTCTTTTTTTTCTTTCTTTCTCCTCTCTCTTTGTCTCTCTCTTTCTCTTCAGGTATCTTTAAATTACATATAAATTGCCTTTCTGTTCCTTTATTTCTCATTGCTACAGGGCTTCCTGTGATTCCCCAACAACACCCATGGAAAACAACACAGAAGTGACTGAATTCATCCTGCTGGGACTAACAAATGCCCCAGAGCTGCAGATCCCCCTCTTTCTCATGTTCACCCTCATTTATCTCATCAGTGTGGTTGGGAACTTGGGGATGATGCTGCTGATTCTCTTGGACTCTCGCCTCCACACTCCCATGTACTTTTTCCTCAGTAACCTGTCTCTGGTGGATGTTTTTTACTCTACAGCTGTCACTCCCAAGGTCATGGCTGGATTACTTATAGGAGACAAGGTCATCTCTTACCATGCATGTGCTGCTCAGATGTTCTTTTTTGCAGTCTTTGCCACTGTAGAAAGTTACCTCCTGGCTTCAATGGCCTATGACCGCTATGCAGCAGTGTGCAAACCCCTCCATTACACCATGACCATGACCATAGGTGTGTGTGCTCGTCTGGCCATAGGGTGCTATGTCTGTGGATTTCCAAATGCCTCTATCCACATTGGGAACATTTTCAGGCTCTCCTTCTGTAAGTCCATTGTGATCCATCACTTTTTCTGTGATGTTCCTGCAGTCATGGCTCTCTCTTGCTCTGATAAACATGTCAGTGAGCTGGTTCTTGTTTTTGTAGCAAACTTCCACATCTTTTTTGCTCTCCTCATTATCTTGATTTCCTACTGTTCATTTTTATCACCATCCTGAAGATGCCCTCATCTACTGGATATCAGAAGGCTGTATCCACCTGTGCCTCCCACATCACTGCAGTGTCCATCTTCTATGGGACAGCCATGTTCATGTATTCCCAGCTCAGCTCCAGCCACTCCACGGACCCAGACAAAATTGTATCTGTGTTCTACACTATGATCATCCCCATGCTAAATCCTGTGGTGTATAGCCTGAGGAACAAAGAAGTCAAGAATGCTTTCAAGGTTGTTGAGAAGGCAAAACTGTCTCTAAGCTTCACCTCTTAGGGTTGTAGGATCCACAGTGACCTAGTTTCATTCCTGTCAGATCTTCTCCATGCACTAATTCAGGGTTTACAGCCCACACAGCATTTAAATTACTGACATGATACTTTCCTCTTCAAAAGTCTGTCACTAAAAAAGAAAATAGCATGTCCAGTTGTGTAACATCTGGATGAGAATAGCCATGAGGACCTTAAATATTTAATGATCATGCTTATCATAAACATTATTAATTATATTTGATTTAGTCATATGTTCACATTTTCTCCACCATATTCTAATGCAAGTATATTGGTAAAACAGGGCTCAAACCCATGAAGAAAAGTTCATGTAAGGATGCATGTGTGCACATACACCCAAGAGTGGGAAATTTGTTAAAGGAGGGAGCTAGAGTATGTCTAGCTTTTAATAAAAAGTTAAAATAATTAATTGTGAATCAGAGCATAAATTAACATCTCAGATTTTTTATTTCTCTAGTTAAAAAACTATTCCAAGAATCTAAATGAAGAACAACATAACATGGATTTTTTTTTTAAGGTAGATTTTATTTGTTAACCTATTTTTTTCAGAGCTATATAACATCCTAAAGGAGTTAATATTTATGTCTTCAGATAGTCGTTTGGTAGAAAAAGGGGATTGATTGGTAATAAAGCAATTTGTCAATTTTTCCTTGTGGGACTATCAAATCTTCAACTGTAAGATAAATGCACAAAATAATGATGATATTACCTATTTTTCTCTCTGGAAATACTATGAGATGACTAGTGCTCCTCATGCAGGGACACATTAGTTTCAGATGAGCTGTCTTGTCTTGCCATTCTACTACTCACTCCCTCCTCTTCACTCACACTGAGTTCCCTGCTATTCCTGGACAATCTAAGCTCACTCCTGCCTCAGGGCCTTTGTACTTTCTGGTGTCAATGCTCAGAAAGCTCCCTCACTTCCCTCAGGTCTTTGCTTAAATGTTATCAAATCCCCAGTGGACACTGTTCCCAACTTGTTCTATTCTTCACGGTCCTTATCAGTACTCAACTATTTTTTTTTCTTTTTCTTTTTTTTAAATTTTATTTTATTATGTTATGTTAATCACCATACATTACATCATTAGTTTTTGACTCAACTATAGTACTCAACTATTATTATCATTATATTTAATTTGTTTGTTCACCTGTCCATATACCTCCTTACCTGGAACATACTATACACAGAAGTGTGACTTTGTTACTTTACTGACAACTTCCTCTACAGTACATACTTTATAGCCAGTTCACACTAATTTCTCAGTAAACATTTGTTAAATTTTCAATTAATCAATTAATTAAACATGAGTCCAACAGCCAATATATTTGAACTATTGATAAGATAGTTCATCACCTATTATATAACTCTTTAGAAAAGAACTTAGAGGGGTGCCTGGGTGGCTCAGTCGTTAAGAGTCCGCCTTCGGCTCAGGTCATGATCCCAGGGTCCTGGGATCGAACCCTGCATCAGGCTCCCTGCTCTGCAGGAAGCCTGCTTCTCCCTCTCCCACCCCCCACCCCATGCTTGTGTTCCCTCTCTTGCTGTCTCTCTCTCTGTCAAATAAATAAATAAAACCTTTAAAAAAAAAAAAAAGAAAAGAATTTAGAGCATTTACTAAGATATAACTAGTTTTTTTTTTTCCTATTTTTCACTCATCAGTTGTAAACCCCACATTTGAAAAGTTAATCTGTTGAAAACCATACTACCAAGTGGTTAATATATAACCATCTTTTAAGTTAGGAATTTTTCTTAAATGGCAAATAACACATCAACTGAATTCTATTTACTAAATCATAGAAAGACAAAATACAAGACTATGAGAATTTTCTACCTGATTCAATTTTCAAAATTTCTTCATACATACTGATGACTTGTTTAACTGCAATGATTCTAGGTAGCCATAAAAAATGTAAGCACGACAATACAACACTAAGCACAACCTGCTCGATACGCTAACATAATTTATAATAATGATGTATGTATTTTATTTTGATCCTTCAGTGAGTTCAATTTGATACTAAAGCTTCCCAGGGGAATTTGCACTCCTGAATCCTTTCCCATCACTATAAAATTAGAAACATTGCACATCTCAAGATTTACAAAACTGTGCCTGAGAAATACAAATCAAAACCACAATGAGATACCACCTCTCACTCGTCAGAATGGTTAAAATTAACAAGTCAGGAAACGACAGATGTTGGTGGGGATGTGGAGAAAGGGGAACCCTCCTACACTGTTGGTGGGAATGCAAGCTGGGGCGGCCACTCTGGAAAACAGTATGGAGGTTCCTCAAGACGTTAAAAATAGAGCTACCCTATAGCCCAGCAACTGCACTATTAGGTATTTACCCCAAAGATACAAATGTAGTGATTTGAAGGGGCACTTGCACCCCAATGTTCATAGCAACAATGTCCACAATAGCCAAACTGTGGAAAGAGCCAAAGTCTATCGACAGATGAATGGATAACGAAAATGTGGGGTATATATATATATATACATACCTACAATGCAATATTACTCAGCCATCAGAGAGGATGAATACTTACCATTTACAATGACGTGGATGGAGCTGAAGGGTATTATGCTGAGCGAAATAAGCCAATCAGAAAAAGACAATTATCATATGGTTTTACTCATATGTGGAATATAAGAAACAGGGCAGAGGACCGTAGGGGAAGAGAGGGAAAACAGAATGGGAAGTCATCTAAGAGGAGAAAAGCCATGAGAGACTGTAACTATAGGAAACAAACTGAGGGTTGCTGGAGGGGAGGTGGAGGGGGGGAATGGGGTAACTGGGTGATGGGCTTTAAGGAGGGCACATGATGTGATGAGCACTGGGTGTTATACAACTGATAAATTTTACTTCTGTAAAATTTACTTTTACTTTGTTTGTTTGTTTGTTTTCATCAGCATGGGCTCATGTTTATTTGTTCTATACTCTGGTTATAATTCCATACTATGTTACTTGTTTTATTACTCAACTTGTTCCATCTTGGCCATTGGCGGCACCTTCAGTTTGACCTCTGTTTCCTTTGGATATGCCCCAATCCTTCTCTTTGTGTTTTTGGTTTTGTTTTGCTGTGTTTTGTTTTGTTTTTTTCTTTTTGGAAGTACAGGTTGCTCTAGGCTTATCTTGTATTTTTCCTGTCCCAGCCCTAAAATCAGTGATTTGTCCAAAGAGTCCTGCTTCCTTTTATTAGAGAATAATATTTAGGAAACATTATCTGAAGGCTGGATATTCTCATCACTACTGGGGAATCATTTTTAGGCCCTCTAGGCAGACACAGTTAGAAAATGTGTGTGTGTGTATGCACCTGTGTATACAAACAAATCTATCAAATCTACACTTCTTTGTATCAATATATATATCGAGAAAGAAAAAGAGAGAGAGAACCATGACTTCATAGTGATGTTTTTAGTATAATCCCTTCTATTTTAGCCTTTCCCCTTACTTCTCTGACCAACTCTAGTTTATCTGTTCAGCTCTAGTTTATATGTAAAGTCATTCAAAAATTGTTAACTAGCAACCCTGTGGGCAACAAATTTACCAACTAGAGTACAGTCTTTCTGGAATGTTCCTTCTGTTTTTAGCCTGTGGAGTTAACAGCTTCCAATCAACACATTACATCAGCTCCTTTTTTCCTCACCTTTCTGTGTCTTAGATCTTTTTGTAATAGTCTACATTCTGTCCTGCGGTTCCTCCCACCTTCTAGCTGATTTTTTTTTTTTTACTTGTAATGAGTAAAGTTCACTTGTAGTGATGTACAGTTTTATAGGTTTTGACAAATCCATTCATTCATGTATCTGCCATCCCAATACCATAGGATGCAGGATAATTCTATCAATCTAAAAATCCCCCTATGTGTCCCTTTATAGACAACAACTTACACTTCTCTTAACCCCTGGATACAACTGAACTATTGTCCATTCTTATAGGTTTTCCTTCTCCAGGATGTCATATGAACAGGATTATATAATATGTGGTCTGATTCTTTCACTTTCTGGTTTTGGTCTGATTCTTTCACTTATTAAAACACACTTAAAGGAGCGCCTGGGTGGCTCAGTCGATTAAGTGGCTGCCTTCGGCTCAGGTCACGATCCCAGGGTCCCGAGACTGAGCCTGCTCAGCAGAGAGCCTGCTTCTCCCTCCCACTCTGCCTGCCTCTCTGCCTACCTGTGCTCTCTCTCTCTATCTCTCTGTCAATTAAATAAATAAATAAAAATCTTAAAAAAAAAACATTTAAAACAACATTTATGTTGTTCTAAGAATCATCAGCTCATATATTTTTATTACTGAATAGTATTCCGTTTACCATTCAACCAGTTTGCTTAACCATCCATCTTTAGGAGTATACCTGGTTGCTTCCTAGTCTTGATGATTCTCCATGAAGCTGCTATAAACATTTGCAAACAGCATTTTGGAGACATGCACTTTCAGTTTACTGTGGTAAGTACCTGCAAGGGCAAGTGCTGGGTCATATGACAAGTCCATGTGTAACCTGATAAGCAATTGCCACATGGTTTTTCAAAGTGATTGTACTCTTTTGCATCACCACAGCGCAAAAGGACTGATGGTTTCCATGGCTTCAAATCTGTAGAGTTTTGGGGCGCCTGGGTGGCTCAGTTGGTTAAGCGACTGCCTTTGGCTCAGGTCATGATCCCAGAGTCCCGGGATCGAGTCCCGCATCGGGCTCCCTGCTCGGCAGGGAGTCTGCTTCTCCCTCTGACCCTCCCCCCTCTCAAGCTCTCTCTGTCTCATTCTTTCTTTCTCAAATAAATAAATAAAATCTTTAAAAAAAAAAAAAAAGAAAGAAAAATCTTTTTTAAAAAAATCAATTAAGGGCGCCTGGGTGGCTCAGTTGGTTAAGCGACTGCCTTCGGCTCAGGTCATGATCCTGGAGTCCCGGGATCGAGTCCCGCATCGGGCTCCCTGCTCGGCAGGGAGTCTGCTTCTCCCTCTGACCCTCCTCCCTCTCACGCTCTCTGTCTCTTATTCTCTCTCTCTCAAATAAATAAATAAAATCTTTAAAAAAAAAAAAAGAATGCTAGTGCAGGGGCGCCTAGGTGGCTCAGTCAGTTAAGCATCTGACTCTTGATTTTGGCTCAGGTCATGATCTCAGGGACGTGAGATGGAGCCCTGTGTTGGGCGCTATGCTCAGGGCAGAGTCTGCTTGAGATCCTCTCCCTCTGCCCCTCCCACTCATGCTTTTTCTCTTAAAAAAAAAAAGAGAGAGAGAGAGAGAGAATGTTAGTGCAGGGGAAGAGCAGGGAAATGTCATTATGCAGGATATCCCTAAAACCCAGGCCCCTGGTAGTGGTCTGCCTCACTCCCACCCCAGGAACCAGAATCTAGTCACT